AGTCTCAGTTCGCGATTCTAAAAAATGTCTTGGCAGTCAATCAGGTCAGTTCACTACCTCCAGACTGACAGTTTGAACCGCAAAGATGAACTGACAACTGACTGATTGACTGATAGCAACTCTGTTCATGACCCCCTCTTCCGCTTTGATTGAAGTGTCCATCTGCTTTGGCTCATGCTTAATACTTGACTGCATACCAATCATGCGTGGCGCTGCAATAGTAGGGTCTGATCCATCAACCAAATTAGTGTTCCGGATCAGTTCCGATCCGTCTTCATATCTTCTCGATTCATCCTCCACGTAATCGTACATGTGCCGATCCCAGTCCCATTTCCAATTTGCGTACGTACGTTTACCCTTATCGACATAAAAGAATCTCTCCAGAGCTTCATCCCATTCCCAGGATCTGTCTTGCTGATACAATCTTGATCCATCCACGTCATTGATAAAGAACCACATTCGTAGTTCACAATCCCATTGCCAACGTGAGCTCGAACCTGTTTTAGATGGCATAGGGCAATCTGTGTAGATCCGCTCACCGTCGTTGATATAAAAAAACTTCTGCGAAGCCTCATCCCAATCCCAGGATATGTCATCCTGCCACACTTTCGACCCATTCACGTGATTGATGTAGAAGAATTGCTGTTGTTCCTTATTCCATACCCATTGTCTCATGCCCTGATCCCCTATCGATCCATTTTGCTGATCTTTGAAGGACAACCTTTCCCAAGTTGAATCCCAAAGTGAACCAAATTTCGTTTTCACTGGCTTTCTGTCCATGCCTCTTTCTTGGACCGAAGTAAGAGACGATCCTGTTCGACGAAATGAGATACGCTTTCTTGAACCCTACCCAATCTTTCCAGTATTCTGGGCGATTTTCCAAACTGAGAAAACGGCTGAACTTCTTATGCTTTGCTGTGATCAGGCTGCAACGACTGTGCAAGTTGCGACAGACCGAGAACTATACGATGCCTGATACGAATTTGTATGGATAAACTCAACGAACTAACTCGACAATGAATCTCGGAATAAGGGTAATACTGAATCGTAGATCCGAGGGATGAAGAAGTCGATAAGACAGATAGCAGGCTGAATCTCAGCCGCAGTAAGCCCCGCCATCATGTCTGTGCACAGGTGCAGCATGTGAACACCACTACCCAATCAGATCCCGTCGCAATAGCAGTCTGAACAGCGGCGAGGTCGCATCCTTTTCGAAGCAGGCGTCTCAGACTCTTACAGATTTACTTCACACTATATGAAACGTCGCTCTATCTGTGCCTGCTCGCTCTCCATACATTACACCGTCCACATAAGCGAACCCGCGAATCACGTACTGCGCCTTCCCGCCAGTCTCACTAGGTCTCAATATCATCGGATACGTACTTCCCAACGCGACGAACACCTCATCGCCAGGCTGCGTAGTCGCGATAGCGCATCCGACCAGCCTGTTCCTCGTAATGAAGATACTGGACTCAGGGTACTGGAAGTCCCACACCGGCTTACCAAAAGCACGTCCGTCTGCACTATTTGACTCTTCCAGCAAGTCACCGGGGATAAATGTAGTCAATATCGCTCGATCGTCAGCCAAAGCGATGGCCAGATATGCGACGAAGTTGTGCAACAGCTCAAGTTGCTCGAACGGGTTGATCTTATGGCTTAGACCAAAGGACAGTGATACTGCGGCAGCCGTGAGGAAGGATCTGGTAAGCGGTAAAGTGCCGTCAAAACTAGCTGCGAAGGTGTGGAGATTGCGCGTCCATAGACCCTTAATTTTGTTTTCCCCTCCACTGAGTCGATGATGGTATTGGCAAAGTTGAGCTGGTTGTACGATTCAGCATGTGTGATAACATCCAGGCTGAAGCCAGACAGCGACAACACATTGGTATCCTTATCGATGCTCCACGCTGGTTTCGTGTCGCCAGCGGGCTTCCACGGCATAGGCTTACCAAACCGAAATGGGTTGCGGAAGAGCATCGGTATGTTCCAGCGCGGAATCCAGGAAGGCTCTTCTTCCCCTGTAATATAGAGCAGTACATCAGCCTTCTCGAAATTTACGAGCGCTGCCTCAACCGAATCACGGTATACTTCACGCGTCGACTTGCTGTAATCTGGATCGAGCATATGGCCATCCTTGGGCAGCTTCATCAAGCCTCGCAGCCCATAGATAGTGTCTCTGGCATCCAGGCAGCCATAGTTAGATGCGAGGTAAAGTATGTTGAGCCATCGCGTCGGTTGCGCAATCAATTCTGAGATAGTCGCGACCCACCAGCAGTTCGCAGGAGAAAACCCGTACGCATCCGAGAATGCAGGCTCCATTATGATATAGCTGGCAACAAGATCGACCCTGTTCCATATTGTCTTCGCATGTCCGACGTTGACCTTCCGGTGGAGGTTGGCGCTGATCTCCTGGATCACCCAAACACGAGTGAAATAGGGATGGGAGTACAACCACACCAGCGACTTCCACATAGTATCCGTGACGAGGTCGATTTTGTTGGGTAAAGGCACATCGGCTCGACGTTTGAGCAGATATTCTTGATATGTGTCTTCGCCGACTCTATGCTCTTCGATCGAGATGCCGAGTTTATCGCAAAGGAAATCGGATACGATTTGGATCGCGTTGATGGCTGTGGCGGCATCACGGTCTTCGGTGTCAGCCCCAAGCCAGATTTGAACCTCTTGCGCGTTCTCGTAGATTCTCTTCATCTGCTTCACTTGCAAGCCGCGTTCTGGTATATCCCTCTGGTTGATGCTACGCATGGTTAGCTCAGGAGATATGACGAGGCTCCATCATGACTGCGGTCTTCAGAATAGAACCTACCATAATGCATCAGCCCACAAGAATCGCGACCTGTCCTCATAACGAAAGTGCGACAAGGCCGTGTGTAGATTCTGAGTGACCTCAATGATATGCCCATCGCAGAAAACAGGTGCCTTCAGTGTTGGGTCGCCCCAAGCGTAAGAGACAGCCTCGTACTCCAGTAGCGACTCCCACTCAACGGTATGAAGCTGGATTGAAACATCGTCGTTAAAGAATCCAGGAAGAAGTTCGGCGATTCTGAGTGACTTCTCACGGGGCAGAATGTCGTAGGTGTAGCTACCGCCCAAGTCGGACCGAATAGCGCCTGCGGAATGAGCCATTGCGGATGAAGTGGAGAATGACACCAAGTGGGGCAGTAGACGAAAGCTTATGTACTTTGGGCTACGCGCATGTCCATAGGCCGTCCCCCACGAATTTCACTCCACGCCCAGCTTTCAGGATTCCTTCTACGATGAAGTTCGGCCATTCATGCTTAAAAATCAGTGCTATGCCGTAATGCTGCAGATGACTACCTAGGCATGGCGACAAGGCGATAGCTGTCTGTGCACACGCGCTGTGCGCACGAAGCAACGATTCGGCTATTGCACGAACATCATCATCCGGAAGTGTTGGCAGGACACCAGGTCATAGCTGTCAGTCACTCGGAATATGGCGCTTCATGCATCTTTAAGAGGGCTCCACCAGACAACATACCGACTGGGATGGTGGACACCAGCCTTGCGTGGAATCGCTTTTGTCACTTCCTTGTCTCCATGTCCTAGACGCGCTTTCGCCTCTTGCGAGGCTGTCCAGGATGAATACCAAGACAACAACGAGCTGTTCGAATTTACCTCCGGTCGATGGATGTACATGAATGAAACTGTTGACCACGCATTGATAGGCCGACTAACATGATCACCTAGTTCCAACGAGTCTCTCCGCCTAGCCGAACGGCGCATGCCTTTTAACGTATCTGAGCTCAAGAGGGTCGCTGCGAAAGCACTCAATAAACCCGTTGAAGACGTCAAGACGTTAAGAAAGATCGCTGAAGGTGGTTTTAATCGTATCCTGGAGGTGACGATGAATGATGGCGCATCGATACTCGCACGTCTTCCCTACCCGTTGACCGTACCACGACGATTAGCAGTAGCAAGTGAAGTCGCGACACTAGACCTCCTCCGTGCGAACGGAATATGTGTACCTCAGGTTCTAGCCTACTCGACTGGTGAGAACGCTGTGTGCGCAGAGTACATGTTGATGGAAAGAACGCCAGGAAAGCCGCTTAGTAGTGTATGGGTTCACTTGACCGATGATGAAAGATTCAAGATCTTGCATCAAATAGTCACCATGGAAGCCAAGCTATTCGCTATGAAGTTGCCAGCCAGTGGCAGCATATACTACTCTCGTGACCTGCCTCCGAAGATGCCCCGGATATATATACCTGGATTGGACAACGGCCTGTGCATAGGTCCGTATGCACACTCAGTATGGTGGTACGGCGAACGCAAGGATCTGGACATCGACCGTGGTCCTCATAATAATCCTCAGCACGTCCTTCGGAGCTTCGCGGACAAGGAGCTAGCCTGGATTCATGCTCACGGTCGACCGCGCTATCCGTCTGACCGTGAATACATCGAATCGTTCGGTCACAAGAAGCAAGATCCTGAAGAACATGCCAGTTCGTTAGAAGGCTACTTGCGTCTTGTTCCTTATCTTGTACCCGCAGATCCAACATCCTACACCCCGACACTTCGACGTCCCGATCTCACTCCCAATAACATATTGATAACCGACAACCTTATCGTAACCGGTTTTATTGACTGGCAACACGCCATGGTTCTCCCTGCTTGGCTGACCGCCGGCATACCACCAGCCTTTGAAAACCACGTGGACGAGGGCTCACGTGGTCTTCAAATTCCAAAACTCCCGGATGACCTTCAGTCTATGGACAAAACCGCACGCGCCAGGGCAGAAGAGCAATACCGACGTCGACACATACATTTCTGGTACCTTGCGTTAACTCGGCAATTGAACGAGCAGCATTGGCGGGCTTATATGGGGCACGACGGAGCTTTCATAACGCGTAACATGTTCCTCCAGGCTGGTATGATCTGGCAAGGCAATAATGCGCATCTCCAGATCGACCTTTCACAAGTCGTCCGCAATTGGTCAGTCTTTGCGTCATCCTCCGCCGACGGCAGTATACCGACCTGCCCAGTCGTCATCGAAGAACAGGAGATGCAGAGAAGGGAAAATCTCAGAATTTCGCTCCAGGAGGGTGATGCGTTTAGAACAAACATGTCGGAGATGATGGGCGTTTTACCTGACGGATCTGTATCGCACGAAAACTTCCGTGTGGCGAAAGAAAGGGAGAGTATGATTAGGGAAGGTGTTTTAACGAAACTCAAAGACGATCCATTGGAAGCGGAGAGAGTGCTCCTGACTTGGCCTTTTCATGACTTTGACGAGGATGAGTAGCGTGATTCTGTTTGCATGTCACTTGTATTGTATGCGTGTCCTTGTATGACACAAGACAACGCGTTATGTAGAGAAGATAGACATTTCCACTCATCATGCGCCGATGCTGTAGAGTTCATGCCTTTCACAATGCCAGTATAGAAGTAACCCTAACGCCCTCAACGCCTCCATTTCTGATGCTCATTTCATTGTATGTACAAACGCTGCAAATGCTAGAAATTGGATCGAAGAGGCTGTCGTCTCTAATCCTCATCGACGTGCCTTTCGGCATTCTGAGAATCTAAGATACCGTCTCTGCACTTCTTGCAGACAAGCAAGGCACAAGAATAGCATTCGTACGCAAGGCTAAATTTGGCTGGCGACTCAGAAAAGATAGTCGATGGTGTCCTGTCGAACTCACGAAGCGTTGAGCCCTGATCTTCCCGCGTTGGGACGATCTTGCTGGAAAACGCCTCGTCGGATGCTCGGTGCCGGAGTCCTATCTCTGAGGTGGCGATGGTGTTACCATAGGTATCTACTACTCGTTCAGAAGAATACTGAACGTCTTCCATCGGAGAAGGCTCGCGTGCTGGCACGCTTTGAGACAGCGGAGAGGACAAGGTGTGGCGGAGATGAGGTGCTGTTCCGATCGCGCCATGGGCTTCAAAGAGTCCACGTGGGGGTACATATGCTCCCCGTCCCCGTCCCCGTCCTCGTCCTCGACCTGCGGTCATGCCCCGTGTAATTCCTCTATCCGCTCCCCTCGCGCCCGCGGGTACAGTCCTCACGTTCGTGTTTTTGTTTGACGCCGCATTGGGTGGTTTGATCTCTGGATGTATCGCACACCAGCATTTCACACATTCCATCTCAGTCGAAGGGTCATTGTTCAGCGCTTTGGCAAGGGTTGTTTTGCATGAATCAAACCCGTGTTCGCAGTCCCATGAGCGGTCTTGATAGTCTTCTGTTGGTTCCTCGCCGAAGTTTAGATCCTGTCGTTGCCAGTAGCGGTGTCCTCCGCCGTCAAGGTTGCGTGGCTGAGAGGCTGGTTGCGGGAGTGCAGTTGCTGCTTCTCCAGTAGTGCCTTGAAGCTGGGGCGCTTCATTAGAAGCGTCAGGTACATCATTCGTGTCAGGCGGGAGTCCGGTATCATCGTGTTGTTCGGGCGACGCATCTTCGTCTTCATCTTCATCTTCATCGAACGACTCGTCATCGTAATCGTCTTCCTCGCCGCAGCCTCCGTTGCAATTGTTGTAATCTTCCATGCAGGCGTAGCAGAAGTGGGCACCACATCGACACTCCATATCTAGGTACAGGCGCAGGAAGTTAGTGTATGTCGCATACGATCTTCGTGCAGGTGAATTACTCACGGTTGCACCCGAACATCCGCTTCAATCCGTGTCCACACTTTGGACACTTCTTATAGCCCCAGCTCTTCAGTAGTTCTGTCGTCTCTGCATCGATGCCGAACTCAGAGATGTTGCACAGACTGTCCGGATGAGCGACTTGACGGCAATCAGGGCAGATACCTGTTTCGCAGGTTGGACATGCGATAGATTTGGAGGTTGGTGTTCCGATACCAGAGTCTGTGCGCTTTCCTTTCCTCTTTGTTACTTCCTCCGGGAGAAGTCGTTCTGGTATGAATGCCGAACATGTTGGTATCGGACAGTAAAACGGATTTGGTGTGAGCCACTCCTCGTACTTTGATCTGAACTCCGCAAACTCCTCCCTTGTCAAATGCGGCTTTGCGTGATGAGGTTGGATCTGTACGCAACACCTCGGAGGCATGCGAGTGGTGTCTTTGCAACATTCCGTGAACATCCTCTTTATGCATGATCCACAGTACGCGCTTCCACATTCTCTGCATGGCTTGATGACCTCTTTTGTATGCTTCACATCCTTGAGACTCGGTAGCTGGGTGCAGCATACAATACACTGCACTTCCGTTTCTTGGATAGGAGCTGGCGGGGCTGGTGCTGGAGAGGGCGGGACCATGGCGACTGCGGGCGTTGGATCAATATCGGTGCCGGCGTACTCGATGGACATCAAGTCACGTTCTGCTTGAGCAAGGCGAAGTTCGGCAGAGATCCTGTATATTTGTTCCATAGCGACGGAAGCTGCAGATGTGGACGACAAGGCGGGGGCGCTGTTGCGCCTCTGCGCAATGGCGGTTGTGGTGATAGAAGTTGCAACGTTGATATCGTCATAGGCGAAAGTGTCTGGTAATTGCGGAGTGATCTCTTGGCGACCTTTTTGCGCGTTTACATGGTCGATGTCGTGATGTTGGGCAGTCGCGACCGGTGAGGCAACAGCCTTCACCTGCGGTCGTACCACGCGAGACAACTTAGAACCCATGATGATTGAGATGGCTTTTGCGACGTAAGATACATGGAACGCTCTGGAAGATGCGGCTTAAATGGAAAGCAAACTTCACTTCGATACGGGGAAGCTTGACTCAGAAAGGCTGTTGACTCAAAGAAAGGCGTTGTGTTGCCTGCAGGCAGCCTTGCGGCGTTGACAGCCATTGGCTTGACCAAGACATCAACAAGACACCCCACATTTGACATGCGCATCTCAGCTGCGACAAGGCTGTGATGCCTGGAGTTCTAACTTGCGCGTCTTTCACGCATGTTGGTTGGATAATTGGCGTTCGTATGGTAGGATCTGGGGGTAAGAGAACGAGGCTGAGCACGTCATCCAAAACCAAGCCTCAGCCCTTGAACCACGCTAAATGACGCCGATACCTACGATACCATAACCGCCATAGAGACGATCTTCTTCCGCCCTTTCTCGTGTGAACAGTGGCGCATGTGGGTGATGGTGCTAGGCGTCCTATGCGCGATCGACTTCTGCATTCACCAGCCACTTCTACCTGGCGCTATACTGAGTTTAGTATGTCACGAGACCATCCTACTCTGACGTATCTACCCAGCCTTTATAAGAACCACAATTCTCCTCTAAATCTAGATATGGTATGGCAAAACGCCTACTGCTACACACTCGCGAAAAGATTGTGGACAATTAATCGTCTACCCTGCTGATGGATGGCTCGGCGCAAAGCCTCTGCAGCTTCAGCTGACACACCACATCGCATAGATAATGCAAGTATTGACCGACCAGAGTGACCACTGCCGATATGATGTCAGCTGTGGCTGAAGTGGCATTGTGCTTGGGGGAATATAACAACAGACTCTTAGGCATCCACGGTCTGGTCCATTTCATGACTTGTCTGCTTTCCATCACTTGTTTTCTTGACAGATACTGCGCGCAATGAATTCTACTCCGCCAGTGCCTCTTCTTCCAATCCGGCCCATTACGCGCTCCGAATCACCATCGTCCGATGGGGATAGCCTCGCGCCGTCGGGACAAACTCCAACTCGTCGGAGCTTCGAAGCAGAAGAAGCACAGGATCCGTTGTTGACCCAGTCTGGTTAGCCGTAACTCCCTGATTGTGGGATAAAATGCAATGCTGATTGCAATTCCTTTGTAGAGCAGAATGCGATCGCAGGGAACTCGAGACGTTCGTCCGCACCCTCAACCAGAAGAGGCACAACAATAGCACAGCCCAGCCCTACTTTACTCACAAAGGGCAAAATCAAACATGCTTTCCCAGGTCTTGTAAGCTGCGCAATTTCTTGGATCCCTATCGCAAGCTTCTATGGCCTGGTATGGCTCCACAAAGATCGAGTAATTAGCCCCTACACAAAGTCAGCTTTCGATGCGGCTATCGTGGGGCTGGGTATCGCGTTCGGCTTGAACGTCGCAAGCGGTCTCAAGGGTATCGCGCTTGATCTTCGGTGGTGGATCCTGAACAGTAGAAAAAGATCGGGTCATGAGGTATGTCGTGCTTGCTCTTCGATTAATGAGCACCTAAACCGCTGATCCAACAAGCTAGGTCGATTCCATAATTCACTGCGACAGCTTGACACAGCTTGTGAGACTCATGTTTGTTACCCAAGAGACGAAAATTAGGTTCATCTGCGGTTGTTGGCTATTGTTGAATATTGTCAGTCTCTCTAGCTACAAAGGTGGCGCATACTGACACTTCCCAGCTAGTTCAAACAGGAATTGCGACTCTAAGTCTGACTTTATCCGGAGATCCAGGTCCAGCGGACATATATCGCGAAAAAGGTCTATCAGACATGGCAGTCGCGAATCTAACGAGATTTGCACCACATCCCTCGCGGTTCCACAATCGCAATTTTGTTGAACGTCTTGCGGCCCATATACTTGGGGATATAGGAAGCAGCTATAATTACACCATGTTACCCCAAGAAGCGCTGAGCGGCACTCCCTGGGCTCAGAATCCTGCAATGTTTTGGAATGCGACCGACCATTGGGAGTACGTATTCCGTGACTCAGCAGTTCTTGACCCTACATCGGCGGAAGAAAACGTACCCCTGAAGGCTGTTTCGATCTATACGGATGATATTGCAATTGCGTCTGGATCGTGTCGAACTCCGACATTCTGGGTCAGTGAAACTGACCGTCTCCTGGTGATCAACATCAACAGCACTGGAGAGGCCGTATACTTTCCTTCCTCTTTGCTTGAGTCTATCCTCTATCTTACCACGCCCGTTCTTACAACACCAACCGCCCAATGCGGACCAGGATGTGGTAATGTCAAAGTTCTTGAACAACCGGCTGGTCCACCTGTTCCTGGCTCAACGATATCGAGTTTTGGATTCTTTTACTATGACTGTAACATAACAGTATCAGCACCAAGATATCTCTCGGCTACAAATGTCGCTATCGCTGCTCAAGCGATTGCACTTTCTGGGGAGCGCCATCCAGAAATATTCACATTGGGACCGGAGACGAGTGAATGGGGGTCTTACACCTATGGTATGACATTCGGAGAACCTCAAAACAACAGTGTAGTAGAGATGGCAAGCCTGCTTTCACGATTCGCTATCGGCGTAGTTGCAGCAGCGGCAGAAACGAACCCGAAAGCGATCGTCCCAGGACATGCGCCAGCACAAGGAGTTAGGATTCAGCTGCGTAGTCCGGTGCTATTCAGTCTA